ACCTCCTATATCTCGTAGGGTCTCTAAGAGGCTCCCCCTGTCCAGGTAGAAGCTTAGCATTCGGATCCATAGAAGAGTCAATAGGTCTGCAACCCATCATACCAGTCTGCTTAAGAATGTCTAAGGCATACTTCCGCTGTGAAATAACAATACCTGAGCTAGACTGAGCAACCTCAATACATAGAAAATACTTTAATTTGCTCAGATCCTTAGTCTGGAAGTGCTGAAAGAGATGCTGCTTCAGATTAGTAATACCATCCTGATCATTGTCAGTAATAACAATATCATCAACATAAATCACTAGATAAATACACAGATTAGGAGCAGAATGCTGATAAAACACAAAGTGGTCAGCCTCACTACGAGTCATGCCGAAGTCCTGAATAATTGTGCTGAACTTACCAAACCAAGTTCGAGGGGACTGTTTCAAACCATATAGTGACCTGCGCAATCTGCACACACAACCATTAAACTCCCCCTGAGCAACAAAATCAGGTGGTTGCTCCATATAAACTTCTTCCTCAAGATCACCGTGGAGAAAAATATTCTTAATGTCTAACTGATAAAGAGGCCAATGACGTACAACAACCATGGAGAAAAAGAGACGAACAAATGCTACTTTAGCCACGGGAGAGAAAGTATCACTATAATCAAGTCCAAAAATCTGAGTATATCCTTTTGCAACAAGACGAGCCTTAAGCCGATCAACCTGGCCATCCGGGCCGACTTTGACTACATAAACCCAACGACAACCAACAGTAGACTTACCTGCACGAAGAGGAACAAGCTCCCAAGTGCCACTCGCATGTAAAGTAGACATCTCGTCAATCATAGCCTGTCGCCATCCTGGATGAGATAGTGCCTCACCTGTAGACTTGGGGATAGAAACAATGGACAAAGAAGATATAAAAGTATAATGAGGTGACAACAGACGATGATAAATTAAACCGACATAGTTGGGATTACGATTAAGTGTGGATTGTACACCTTTGCGGAGTGCAATTGGTTGACTAAGTGTGAATAGAAATCCCAAATTGATTTTGAATTTCCTAAACTCTCGGGCATTATCACTACGAAATGTGCAAATAGAAACCCCAAATTGATTTTGAATTTCAGCATGGAAGGTCTGAAAAATAGAAAACAACTCAGATCGATATTTTTATCAAAAATATCCAAGTGCACCTGGAATAATCATTAATGAAACTGACAAAGTAGCAGAATCCCAAGGTGGAACTGACCCGACTAGGACCCCAAACATCTGAATGGACTAAAGTAAAAGGTGACTCTGCTCGATTATCAAGACGCCGAGGGAAATGAGAGCGAGTATGCTTACCGAGCTGACATGACTCACACTCTAGAGCTGACAAGTGAGATAAACTAGATACCATTTTTTGAAGTTTTGACAAACTGGGATGTCCCAATCGTTTATGTAATAAATCTGGTGAATTAGTAACAGGCCAAGTTGTTGAAGGAAGACAAGAAGTGAGTCCATGTAATTTAGCAAGGATAAGGTAATGAAGTCCGTTTGATTCACGTCCGGTACCAATGATCCGCCCCGTACTGCGTTCCTGTATAAAAACATGGTCATCAAGAAATAAAACAACGCATTTAAGTGATTTGGCTTAGCGACTAACAATTATGAGATTAAAAGGACTATTGGGAACATAAAAGGACTGAATCTAAAGGCAAGGAAGGAAATGGGCTTGCTTGACCTATTGCAGTTGCCAAGGTTTGAGACTCATTGGCCATTGTGACTCTTGGAAGAGATTGAGAATACGAAATAGTAGTGAAAAGAGATTTGTTACCAGAAATATGATGTGATGCACCTGAATCAATGACCCAAAACTCAGAGGATGAAGATTGGGAGAAATAAGTCACGCTATTACCTGTTTGAACAACAGAAGCTATCTCAGAAGATATCTGCTTACATGCTTTGTACTGAATGAACTCAATATAATCTACTAAAGAAACCATCCGACTATTCAATGTATCGGTTCCCATGTCGCTACAATTTGTAGTAGTAAGGTTAACTTGAAATAGTAGAAATAAGTAACTCCTGTGGGAAAACTGAAGAAATATTTGGGAAAAGACTGCTTACAGCAGAAAACAGAAACTATTTTACGCCGGAAACACTGTTCACACCGGAAAATACTGTAGCTCGCCGAAAAATTGTAAAGTTGTCGGAATTTGTCTTAACCAGGATGGATATACTCGGAATTCCCTTGCGAGCAAGCTGTCCTGAAGAAATGTTTTCAAAAAATGGCCGGAAAAGTCATTATTCACGCTGGAAAAATATAAAAGTGGTCGGAATTTGATTTGAATTAGATGTGTAGGCTCGGAATTGTGAGTAGAGCAGACTGTCCTGAAGAAGCTTCGCGAAAAAATGGCCGGAACCCTCGCCGGAAAAGTTGATGTTGCCGGCGCGTGGCAGCTTTTCTGCCGGATAAATTTTAAAGGGTTGGTCGTTGGAGGGTGATCTACCTCGTGGTGGTGTTGGTTTTAGCACAACACCGACAGAAAGTGACTTTCACGTAGACATGCCTTAGGTCACCGAAAAAATTGCACAATGACTAAGTTCTTTCTTCCCGGTTAATGCTGGAATGACGCACAACGATCTTTTCTCACTAATGCTCTGATATCATATGAGAAAATACGGGAAAAAATATGTTATTGATATTAGATACTCAATATAATGCAAGAGGTCCTATTTATAGCTATAGTCTACAAAGTATGTATTACTCCCATTCCAATGTGGGACTACACATAACTAACAGCTGTATAATACATGTATGTTAGGCAGGGGCTCTAAATAATTTTGGCCGAGCATCCAAATAATTACTCATATAATCAATTTAAGGTAATATAAAATCAACTCGTATACTATCAACTAGTCTAACTTGTTGAATATTTGGACGTGAGAGTTTCCCTTCTCATTTAGCTCCTCATGAAATTAAAGGATTGAAAATATATTTTGAACTAAGATAGAATGGTAAATCCTAAGATAAGANATATATATATATATATTTTTTTTTTTGGAGAAAGGAAACAAATATTTTGTTCCAAAAATAAAGCAATTATATAAATTAAAGTTAATTCCAATGTAATCGGAAGCTTCCCTTTTGCGCGAACTTTACAAAGATCCATTATTATAGACATTGAAGGTCAGAGTTATCATACCCCAGGCAACAAATAATTAACAATTCAGATAATATGAAATAAGACTAGACAAGCATGAGAAATGCCGATCCATGATTTGGGCCATATCGTACGATTAATTCTTGAAATTTTACGTAAACGCGTGCATTAATTCCTTTTCAATTTCAAAAGTACTGTCCTGTAAAATTATTATCCATATATTATATTTGTCCTTGTCGATGCATCTCCGATTTTATTTATTGAAGAATTCAACTTGTTTGGTAGACGTAGACACAGAAATTAATTTAACAGTGTAAGGAGTTTAGAACAGTATTATAAGATCATATTCAGAATTCAGATTACAAGAGCAAGGTGTCTTTGGCTCCTATAATTCTCCTCTTCTGCCTTTAAAGTGGTAAAACACAGGAGAAATTGCATATTATCACATGGCAAGAAATGGTGCATGATGTACTTATCACTTATCACCGTGTATATTACGCGTTGCCAAATGCTCATATTTTAAGTGAAAATGGTCAATTTTTATAAAACATCTTAGTAGGCGTTTGGACATAAGAATTGTAAAATTCGAAAAAATGGTGAAAATATTTTTCAAGTGAAAATGGTATTTGAAATTTAGAGTTGTGTGTGGACATAAATTTCAGTTTGGGTTGTTTTTGAAGTTTTGTGAGTGATTTGAGTGAAAATTTTGAAAACAACTTTTTGTAGTTTTTTAAATTTTATAAAATTCTCAAAATGCATTTTCAAGTGAAAATGGTATTTGAAATTTAGAGTTGTGTGTGGACATAAATTTCAGTTTGGGTTGTTTTTGAAGTTTTGTGAGTGATTTGAGTGAAAATTTTGAAAACAACTTTTTGTAGTTTTTTAAATTTTATAAAATTCTCAAAATGCATTTTCAAGTGAAAATTAAAAATTTTATGAGCAAACGCTAATTTCGAAAAAAGTAAATTTTTTTTAGAAAAATCTTCCATCAAATTTAATGTCCAAACGAGCTCTTAAATAGATTCTAAACGCGTAACTGAAATCTAACATGTTGACATGCTTAATTAATTGACCTCAACTTGAAATTTATTTTATTACACCCACTCTTTGAGGACATCATATATAAATAGTAATACTCTATTACGTTAATAATTGTAAATAACAATGTAAGCATCTTAAATATTAAGAGGTCAAGAAGTTCTGTACAATTTCAGATCTAAGAGACAATATGTAAGCGTAAACACCTCTACCTTAACTAAAGGGTCAATGGCATAAGTCATGTTGGGAAACAATTAGGAATTAGTAATATAGGGAGCCACTATTAATTCTTTAAAGGAAATGGGAGAACTTAAAAAACAGAAATACAAAAGGAATTAGTAATATTTTGGGATTGTAGTGTGGGAATTAGTAATGCGTGGATTGTCATGCAAGGATTGACAGTGCAGGGAATAGTAATGTATAAATTATTTCTTGTTGGATGTCTAGTAGGGGTGTACAAACCAAACCGATAATCTGCACAAACCCGAAAATCTGAGTCAACCCGGAAAAAAACCCCGACTAGTGGTTTGATATTGAAAAATAAAATCCGACCATAATAGAGTTGATTTGGTATTAACTAAAAAAAGTCAAACCGAAACCAAACCAACTCGACATTATATGTATACATATTTTATATATTAGATAGATAAAGATATTTATTAGAATGTAAGTTATAAATATTTCTTAATTTTTTTTATAATTTCTGTATTTAGCATAATATTTTAAGTTAGTTTTATAGCCCATGTAAATATTTATTTTTGTCTTGCCCATAAAAGAATAATTGAGTCCATACCAAAACCTAGTCCTAAAGCAGAACTAGACTAGTCCTAAAGCTGTTCTAAAACACTTAAACAATTGAAATCATTTTGCCTCTTCTCCAAAAGCAAGAAACCCTATCGTTCCATTTCAAAACCCCCAAATTAGCTCAAACCAAATTAGCTCAAACCCTATCAACTTTCTTTTGCTCTCATCGGTAAGGCTCTTCCCTTTCTCATTTTACATATTTTCTTTTAGCTGCATACATATACCTTGCTTTTTCCCAATTAACTAAGATTTTTCTTTTTCAGATTAGCAGTTGTTTTGCAAATCTATTGTATTCCTCCCTATTATCGAATTTATTTGTTTATTTTATTTCTATTAGATGATTAACATGAGTAATTGACTGTTACTTAAAAAGATATTGAAACTTTTTTACTTATATTTTGAATCATTTGGTTAAATAATATGGACTATGTAAAATTAAGAGTGATGTATTTCTTACATTGATGTATTTCCAAGGAATATAAGTTTGAAGACATGTTAGAGGAAGTCCAGAAAATTGAGCAAGTTGAAGAAGGTAATAATTTATATTCAATTGTTAATGAGTATAGTTATTTTTTTATATTATTTAATATTAAATATGTTAATTGTTTCTTTTCTTTCAGAATATGCAGACTCGCCTTTGAGGATTGATTAGAGGGATAGTTAACTACAATTTGCTTCATGACTATTTTTGGAATCTTTACTACTTTAAGGTAATTAATTAAAAGAAAGTTGGTGCATGGTTTTTAATCGATTAAGAAGCTTTTGTATTACATTATTTCTCTAAGGTTCAGTTGATTTGACAATTGGAGAAATTAGACTTCTTACAATACTTAAAGCAATTGATTTGTCCATGATACTCCAACCTGCTCTTTCTAATTGTTTATCTAAGTTTCAATTGAAGTTGGACATGTCAATTGCCTTAAGCTTTTATTAGCATTTTGGTGTAAAGTAAAAAATAATTTATAAAGTTGAGACCTTTATAAAGTGGAACCATACAACCTATTGACTAGCATAGTTGAAGTCAATGCTAAAAAATAAAAATATGATTGTTATTGGTAAAATTGTATTTAGGACTATAGAAATATTTGAAGCACAAGTTTATCAGGAAAACAGACTCCGAAAAACCTGAGAAAACCCGATATTGAAAAACCTGACTTTTATTGATTTGGTCTGGTCTATAGATTTAAAAACCCGATACAATTGGTTTGGTTTGGTAATTGCAAAATCCGAACCCCAACCTATGTACACCCCTAATGTCTGGTTGTAACTTAAATATATCATATGTACCATGTCCAGAAGATGGAAGTAGCTGAAATGAGGATGTTGAGATGGATGTGTGAGCATACCAGGAAGGACAAGATTAGGAATGAAGTTATTAGGGACAAGATAGGAGTGACATCTGTAGAAGACAAGTTGCGGGAATCGAGTTTGAGATGGTTTGGGCATGTGAAGAGGAAAAACATAGATGCTCTGGTCACGAGGTGTGAGGGGTTATCTATGGCGGGTTTGAGGAAGGGAAGAGCTACGCCTAAGAAGTATTGGGGAGAGGTAATTAGGCAGGACATGTCGTTGCTTTAGCTTACCGAGGATATGACCCACGATAGAAAGGTGTGGAAGTCGAGAATTAGGGTTATAGGTTGACTGATAGTGGTGTGTTCCTCCTAGGCTTACCTGTACTACTAGGATTTTTTTGTATTATCTTATTATGGTTCTTTATTATTTCATGATGTGTCATTCGCGCTCGTTACCATTGTTTGTTACTTGGCTGCTTTATCTTATCTCCACTGTTCCCTGAGCCGATGGTCTATCGGAAACAGTCTCTCTACCTTTATAAGGTAGGAGTAAGGCCTGCGTACACACTACCCTCCCAGACCCCATTTATGAGATTACATTAGGTTTGTTGTTGTTGTTGTTGTTGTTGTTGTAGTATATATAATATAATGTTTTTACTTTTAAAACAAAATAAAAAGTTTGTTTTGGATGAGAAAATGGATAATGTGTAAATTATACCGAATTTTGTGCGGATAGGAAAAAGAAAATCAGACCTTGTATAATGAATATTGAGTTTTATAGATGTATTATAATTCCTAATGAGTCCTACTAAACGGGCCTTATACTATTCAGTGATATGATTCAAATTTCTGGATTTTATATTAAGTATTAATACTTTATATTGTCAAACCACTCCTTAATCAGGGGCATAGAATAGAATATGACAAAAGGTACAGTTGATTGAGTCTGTTTATTGGATGAGTTGATGCATTCGAACTTGGAGGATGTCAACACCATGCATGGATATTCTGCAAAAGTAGATTTAAAATTTAAAATTTATAATTTTGAATAATAGATTTTAAGCCACTAGATTCGAGAGAATTAGTAGTTTTAATTGTACATCCACCTCTAATATTGTGAAGTATATGCGGTATGGGACTGAAATGATCCAAAAGTTGATTTGTGCAATTTTTCTTTTTCAGTGTTTGCACAAACTCTCAAGTTCTACTCCTGAGTTTGAAAACGTGAACTTTTGTGTAGTAAAAACAGCACAAACAAACAAGGATTTGTAAAAACAGTTTTTTTTCCCTCACAAACTCACTTTTTTAGAGAAAAAGAAAACAAATGTCACTTTAAACATACACGACCTACGACCTATTTGGTGCTTCTTTCAAGTTTTCCAAAAACTTGAGTTTGCAACTCAATTTGAAATTTTTGAAAAACTTTATATATGTTTAACTGTTTTTGGCAAAAAAGAAAGCCCAAACAAACACTTTTTGGCTCCGAAAACTTTAAAATAAATCAGCTTTTGGTAAGCTTGACAAACATTTTCTAAAACAATTCAGTGGAAAACATTTTCAAAACGCAGAACCTCTTAAAATAGGTTTTTGCAGAAACTAATGTAAACTTATTTTCATAAAATTAATATAAATACACCATTTTCTTCAAATTTATATTTCAAAGACTTTTTAAAAAAATAACCAAATTCAAAAGTCAAACAGTTTAACAACCATCGTGCAAATGTGATTAAGCTCACGACCAAAAACATCAGAATATCTGAATATGGACAACTCGCCAATGATAATTGAAAGGACAGAATGAGAGATAATACAAAAGGATCAATACGACCTTGGAATTAATACACAAAAATCTATTTTTTTTTTTATATATTTTTATTTTCTTAAAAATCATATGATATTTTATATTTACTTCGATTAATTCAGATTCGCATTATATATGATTTATTAAAGGGTATCGTTCATGGCGGTGGTAAAGCCACCCTATGCTAAGGGTGGTCAAGCGCACACCCTTCGTCGAAAAATTATAATGTATATATAAGTTTAATACTACTTTATATAGTCATATATTATAATTTGAACACCCTTACTACAGTTGAGTGCAACAGTCCAGCGGTTCAGGGTGTTCAAAGTGATGCGTTATTCACGGGTTTAAAGTTCTAGCCATTTTATTTGTCAAAACTAAACGAAAACTACCATGTGTGGTTTATTTGATTCTTTTTCAATCTAAAAAATTTTCTAATTAAATAACTCTTAAAATTTAAAATTTATGATGAAATAAACAACTAATCTTAAAAGTAATTTTTAACTAAAAGTTATTTCTTAAATAAATTTTATAATTTAAAAGTCAAGCTTTACAAAAATTTCTTCAACCAAAGCTCTCTACAAACTACAAATGCACTCGACTCTCTCTTTCTTTTGGTTTTATGCTTACTTGTATTAAAATTTTTAATGTTGTCTTTTTGTTATTTTAATTTTGATTTATTAAATTATAGTTCTATTAAATATTTATTTATTGTTTATCTAAATGTTGCGTAATTTGATTTAAAAAAATTGGTACATCATTCATCGACAAAAAAAATTACTGTCTTGTTTAAAGGTTGAATATCCTTGGCGAAATTCCTGGTGTTGAGTATTGGGGTTTTGATGGTTAACAAAATTTATCCAGAGGAAATGCTCTAAGAACCAGGTCCTCAAGATCGATGTTGAAGGTTCTTACAAGGCAGTAACTTTTTCACAAAATCACTCGAGTCCGAGTTTGTTGGAAGAAGGCTGCTAATGTGATAAGGGTCGTTGTCCAAGAAGATATGCTTGCATAAGTGATAGACCATAGTTACAAGAATTGTGGAGTCATTGGAACTGTAGGAGTCCTATCAAATGAGAAGTTAACTATGCATAGGACTCCTGAAAGATCTCTGAGCCTAGTAAACTTAAATACTATCTTTTTGGACTGCTGAGACTATCCTTTTGCACATCAACCGTTGAACTATATTTTCAACACTCAAGTCAATTACTAGTCTTATTGTTCTTCTTGAGTCAGTTAGTGAATGTGTTTTAGGAAATCGAGTTGTAATCAAGTGTCATACATAATCAGTGAGTTGAAGTAATTATTTGAGTTTGCAAGCTAGAGTAATTTGTAAGTCAAATAGTTGAAGTAGGAGAACTGATGGGTATTGATTCGCAAGTCTTGTAATCGATACATTTGGCTCATTTGTTTTAGTGAAGTTAAAATTAAAATCCTACGTGGTAGGTAGTGGTTTTTGCACCTTTGAGCGGGGTGATGTTTCATGTAAAATTGTTGTGTTTATTTTACTATCTATTTCGCTTACGCTTAAGGAGTTAGGTAAATAACTAAAGTTCTTTAATAATTCAGAAAGACACTCAAATTAACAATTAATACCAGAGCAGGTTCTCTCACATGTGGTTAACACCTAAAGAGATCTTGGAAGCAAAATGAATGTCCCACCTGGGATTAACGAAGGGCAGTCAACTACTAGACCACCTATGTTCAACAGAAAATACTACAGTTGGTGGAAGACAAGAATGGAAGATTTTCTGACGGCTGAAGACTATGAACTATGGGCTATAGTGAATCGAGGTCCACTAAATCCCACTAACAAAATGGAAAAAATGAAACTGTTCCCAAAGACCCATCTGAATTCGTGGCAACAAATTTCAGAATGATGAAGAAGAATACAAAGGCCAAGAAGATCCTCATCTGTGGACTTGGTCCTGATGAGTACAACAAGATATCTGCATGCTCTAATGCAAATGAGATCTGGGATACACTTCAAACTGCTCATGAAGGAACAAACCAAGTGAAGAGATTAAGGAATGAACTGCTTTTGAGGAACTATGAGCTCTTCTCCATAAAGGAGTCTGAACCCATCCATGAGATGATGACTAGGTTTACCATAATAATAAATGAACTGAAATCACTTGGAAAGGTATTCACTTATGAAGAATTGGTTAGCAAGGTTCTAAGGATTCTCCCAGCTTCATGGGGATCAAAAGTCACAGCCATCTAGGAAGTAAAGGAGTTGGTTAAGATTTCACTGGATGAGCTGATTGGAAACTTAAAGACTCATGAGATGAGAGAGCTAGAACTGCGCAAGGAATAATCAAAGGGGGATAAGACCTTGGGTCTTAAGGCATCCAAAGAAGATGAGTCTGACAATGATGAACTTAACCTAGCAATGCTTGCTAAGTTTAAGAGGTTCCTGAAGAATTCCAAAAATCCATCTAAGAGAGAAAACAGTGGCAAACCTAAGAAGATTGACAAAGCTTCATACGATGGGTGTTACAAGTGCAACAAGCTAGACGACATGGTCAAAGACTGGCCAATATGGGAAATTGAATGGAAGAAAGAAAAAGCTAAAAAAGAGAAAAGGGAAAAAATGAAACAAAAGGGCCTAAACAAAGGCAAAATCCTAGGCAAAGGATTCACTGAAGCCATAAAACAAGC